CCCCATTTACACGCCCCTCGCTTGCATGGACGAGCCCACGATCGTGTTTCCCAACGGCTCCAACTCAACATACCTGTGTTGGCTGAGCCAGTTCCCGAGCTTCGACACCGACAGCCCCAACGCCCTTATCGACGAATGCAAAGGTGCGAACGATGGCAACTGCTTTCTCATTGGCAACGACCGACGAACATCGCCCACGCTCGGATTCGATTACTTTTTGACGTCGGCGAATCAACGAACCATTGCGCTTCCGCCACGACGAGGCTTTGAACCGGTGTGGAAGTCTGTGTACTTGGGTCATGACAACTTCGGGCTGTCCTTTTACCAAGAACGAACGTGTTTGGATGCGTACTGGGACGGCCCCGTGCTCAAGGTGCACCAGTGGGGGTGCGAATTCTACAACCGCAACCAATGGTGGCAATTCAATATGCATTCGGATCAGCAGCAGCTACTTAAACACGCTGTGCACACGGATTGGTGCCTCCAAACGAATGGTGTTGGAATTCACAATCACCCCCAAATGGTGAAGTGCAACAAGGCCATCCAAGAGCAACAACATCGAGTGTATTTTTAACTGGCCGTCATGGAACGAACGAAGTACTGTAGTACTAGTATTGTACTATTATTATTGATAGTATTAATAATACTGTAATAGTTAGTGCAGGACAACGACAAATACGGTAGCACTTCGCGAAGTAGTTATTACAGTGGTGCAAGTCAATGCTCGTTCTTGGGTTCGCCGGGCTTGCATGAAGGCCAAGAGAGACTCAGGTTGATGTACGATTGTCGGACAACCTGCACCTTGGATGTTGTGGTTTCGCTGGCTGCCCTTGTAGGCTTGCAATGCAGCCGCCACCCGATGCCAGTTCCGCACACAGCTGTACGAGACGCCAAGCGCGTCCGCCACCTTGCGGTAGGAGGAATCCTTCAGGAGCTCTAAGGCTTTCCGTTTAAGGGATATGGGGTATGTGTGCCGCCGAGCTAAGTTGGTACAAAGTGTATTGTCGCTGATGGGTGTGTCCGCGTCAAGCATGGAAGTGTGGTAAAACACAAACCGTACCTACTGTACTACTTCCTCGAAGTATTAATACTACACCACTTCCCGTTCAAGTTGAAATGAATTTCCAGTCAATGTGAAATGAACACGTTCGAAACACGACGATTTTCAAATCAACATGAATTTTCTAACATTCAACTTGAAACATACTTTGTTTCATATATATTCTGGTGTATGATTTGGAGGAAGGTGGGTGAGGGAGGGTAGACATGATGATTGAATCACTATTGTATACTGAAGGGTAGTATAATTCATCACCTTATGGTCACTATACTATAGTTGAAGTAAGTTTAACGATTCATTTTGATGTGAACATTTTTCATGTTGAGATGTGAAACTGCACTTGTGAAATCTTATAATATTTCTGCATTTCACATTGACTGGAAATTCATTTCAACTTGAACGGGAAGTGGTGTAGCAGTTGCTTTCGCGGTCTTTATATTTTTGCTTTGGCGCGGATTGTCATTTTGGCCAATTAAATTTGCTTATTTGAATTCTTCATGATGATTGGCTCTACGATGTATGTGTAATGAGAATCTTAAATTTCCCCGTTCTCTGTAATATCAACCAACCTGAAGTAATAAAGTTAAAGTTTACTAGTACCAGTACAGAGAAAGAGGGAATGGTACGCCTAACATGGGCTTCGACCTGATATGAAACGTGATTGCTTATGGGTTAGCGGACTGCGAAGTTCGATTGTTTTTGTAGCCAATCAGGGCAGTTTTTGTTGGAGGTTATTAAAATTTGCAATTGGATTGCCTTGGGAAATGGCATTGCTTGTGCTAGCGCTGTATCGGATGTGACGATGATCTAACTACAAGAGTATCAAATTGATTCCTCACTTAAACTACGTACGCGAAACGAAGATAGCACTTGCTTGACACAGTGGCGCAACGGTTAGTGCGACGGCATCCATGATGATAAAGGAAGGGACCCAGGTAGTGTCAAGCTTTTTTCAAAATTAATATAATTTACATAATTTAATATAATTTGCATACAACAACACAATTAGACATAGGCAACTTATTTAATTTTTCATATTTATATCCACAACAAATCATTGGCTGAAAAGTGCCTTTGGCATGCAGGACCATCAATGCGATGCATGAACACACCATTTACTCAGTGTTAGTAGGGACTGGGAGAGCTTTCTCAAAGCTCCTGCGAATATCTACTGGTGACACGCGGTCCCATGCCATGATGGCACGTTTCACTATTGCTAATCTCTTTTGACCAGCGGTAGGGGTGTCAAAGTCATCTCCATCTTCGCCGTCGATCATCTCTTCGGTCAGCCAAGCATCGCACAAGTAACGCTTGAATGGCGCCATCACCCCGACATCAAGTTGCTGGCAAATTGACGTGGCGTTGGGAGGAATGGGACAAAGCAGGCTTCCCAACTCCTCGTGGACAATACGATAGGAGTCATCGTTGAAGTTGTCGAGTAGGACAACGGAGTGGTCGGACAGATTGTTTGTAAGCAGCGTCCGCAGGTAATAGTTCCACACGGTGTTGTCCATCCACGCCTTCTTCTGCACAGCGTAGACATGGCCACGTGGAAATAGCGGCAGTTCAGACGTTTCGGCCGCCTGGAGCTCCACGGATGACAAAGAGGATTGGGAGCTTGTCGCCATTGGCACGTACGGTGAGAACGGCAGTCATTCGAGGAGAATGCTTCTCACCAGTCGATATCTTGGCATCACCCCCTCGAGCAGACCAAATGTACTTGGGTGGCATGTCATAGTGAAACCCAGTCTCATCCACATTGTAGATGGCTTCAGGACCAAACCCTCGGTACTCGCGGTTTGAATTCCTCTGCGAACTTGTCGCGCACCTCGACCAAGGCAGCTTGGCTTTGCTTGTTCTTCCCAGGCCGTTGACGTGAGAAGCCGTTTCGATGGCAGAACCGTTGAAGTAGGTTTAGCAGACTTTGGTATCCGGCGCCAGGCTTCTTCCGCGCAATGTAGGAGCGCAGCCAGTCCGCATGATGCCGCTTAATCCAGTTGACGATATGTGTTGTCGTCAGGGCTCTTTCTTGTTCACGCATTTCGTTCACGAACAGAACGAGTCCGTCTGGGTCGGGGAAGGTTTCGGGACGGCCACCAGGGACGATCTTCTTGCGCTTTTTGTTACCGTCGTAGGCCAGGATGTCCCATTTCTGGTCAATCCATGTTCGGATAGTTTCGACGTGGAATACCCAGTAGTTCAGACACCTTGTAGTCGACGAGGCCAGCTTCCACTAGTCCAAGTACTTCCTGCTTTGTTGCGACAGTGTAGCTGTTCTTTGGTGTACGCTGGGCTACCTGCATTGCGAAATCAAAGCTGACACTTGTGAGGGCAAGGTTGCAAGTCAATTTGAAAAATTTGCGCCGGCGGGATAATATTATTATTGTCCAATTATCTGCTCGAATTCGAGTACTCGGTATCTATTGGCTAAAAGGGGGACAACTGTTATCAAAACTTCGTTAGGCGTACCATTCCCTCTTTCTTTGTAACGTGATCGACCAGTGATGTGCCGATTTTTTTCTGTAAATAACGTATGACAGAAAACCCTTGCCGCTAGTGCTGCCATTTTCTCTGTGATTTTCTGAGGGCTGGCTCTTCCAAGCTACAGTGTATGAGAGCTTCGAAGCCATCAGAAAATCCCGAGTATTTGGCGCCATGGCACCAACCATAGCCACACAGTGTTACAAAATGTCCCCACTTTAAGCCGTCCAAATCACTGCCAACCGACCACTTTAAGCTGGAAAATCTCCTTCGATTTAGATATAACATCTTGGTTGAAGTATGGCACAGAGTTCCGGATAAAAGTGAATTGTAACTTGTACTTCGAAGTAACAGAAAACAGCTTGATTGAAAACTACTGTATCGGTATAAAATAGTACTACTACTGTACGTATTAATAGTACTCCACCTATTAATAGTACCTAAATATATTGATACATAGTAATCGAAACTAAAAAATTGAGCACAAACTTGGATCCGAACCGTGTACCTTGCGAAAGATAATCTGACGCTCATCCCACTGAGCTAATCCCCTACTTTTCTATTTGCCTCGTCCATCGTAGTCCACTAGAAACGTACCCTTTCCTATCGGTTGATCATGTCGAACGCTGCTCGCAATTCCACCGCCCCCAACCCACGCCCGCTGCTTGAACCCTCTGGGAACCACTCAGGAGACCTACTCCAAGGTCCCAATGAGTCCCATGGTTCCTGGAACTCACCTGCCTCGACTTTGCCATTGCCACCGACCGCCGCGCCGCCTGACGATGCCGACATGGCAGCCCACCCGTCCACTGGAGGAGATTGGCCTCCGCCTGGTCCTCAGCGCCTTCGGGCTCGGGCCAGCGAGCCTACATGTCTACCTGGACCGGTGGCTCCGTCGCGCACCACGCCGCTGCCGCCGTCGTTGCCTGTCGAGTTCGAAGATGGAAACTTCGATTTATCTGTTTGCGAGCTCTGATTTGGAATTTCAACCAATCAGTAATTGCGATTTGGGAAATTCCGAATTTAACGAACCAATTGGGAATTTTGACGTTGGTCGACCCCAGCCAATCGGTGATCAAAACGCAGGGATAATTCCTGGAATTTCCCCATTGGCCAGCACAACCGAAGTACAGTCGGCATGCCTGCACTTTCTGGACCTGCAGCCTCGAGCGGAGCTAACCGCAATTCACTGGACTACAATAAAGTCATTCGTGGGTTCACTGCTGCTGCTAAGCAGCACACCAAGGCTGCATTTGTCCCGCCCCCAGCAGACGCCATCGAAGCGATCCTATTGGAGCTCTCCAAGCCCAAAAAGGATCGCGTCGACATTCTCGCAACGATCAACCTGGCTAGGCCCTACACCCCTAAGGTGGCCATGGCTCGTTTCACGGTTGATACTGGTGATGCACTTTCTAACCAGTCGCACGAGGCAATTATGTCCTCGCTGTTTGCTAGTGCGCAAACAGACACGGTGAAATCGCTGCTTTCTGAGTTCGTCCAAGTCACTCGACTCGGACGTGGTGGAATTATGGTTTCAGTGACATCTTCAAATGCCCGCAAAGCACTTGGGGGACATACCTTGTCAATTATGGGCAAAAGTACCTCATCCCTGTGCAGGAGGAGCACCCATTGGACCCCCTCTGTTTCATGGACATTACTGGAGTCCGCGACAACTTTGATGCAACTAAATTCTACCACAAGCTGACCTAGCTCGGCGTCGATGTAGTTTACCACAGCCATCGTGCTGTCATTCCTGGGACTGGGTGCCACACGAACGCATGGCGTATCTATTTCTCGGACGCGGCTATCCCTGACCAACTGCGGATCAATGGAGAACCAATCAACCAAATTAAATACCAGCGATTCGACTACCGTGTGTACTTCAAAGTAACTAAAGGGACTCCATTCCATGGGATTAACGGAGTCTCGTCGCACTGTGTGGACATCGAAGTAAAGCGCCCACACGAGGAAGCACCGGACGATCAAACTGTTAACACCCCTGGCCCAAAATCGTCGGTAATTGGAAATGCCATAACGGTCACGTCAAAAAAGGCCAAAAAGGGCACCAAGCCTATGCAACCAAATAAAAACGTTGCGCTCACCGAGAGTATTACCTCAGAAATTCCGCCTCCACTTCGGCAATTCGATTCGACGCTTCAGCAGTCTATTCGACCCGAAAATTCCACCGGCGCTATCGGGCCAGTCACTAGCGAATACGAAAGCGTGTTCGAGGATGATGCGGAGGCTGGCATCGACACTGAGGACACATTCATGGACAACAATCAGTCCGTGGAAGTGGACGTACCGTACCAAGTGGTGCCGGGACGCAGGAAACGCAAGGAACCGACTCGCTCACCGCCAAAACCACTGGCGGAATATGCGACGCCGAATTTCTTTGACGTCCTTCGCGCCTACACTGGAGGATTTGACACCCTCCAATGGAGGAAAGACCAGGATATCGTCACAATGATTCCTACTTGGAGTCTACTAGGAGATATCTGGCGTGACTCGCAACCAATGCGTCACTACAATGCACCAAGTCCAGAGCACCCTAACATTCGACGTCGAATCGATGACACTGGAGCGACTACAAACGATTCTGGAAGAGTCAATCAAACAACTACATGCTGAGGAACTTGCGGACACGGATCGAACCTTTGCAGAGGCGGTCGCTGACAACCTCAGTGACCTATCTGAGCTCGTTCTTAAGGGCCAGGCCGACAGAGTGTGGACCCAGGTCCAAAACAAGCACCTATCAGTCAATGTGGCACTACATGCCATGGCGAAATCTCACCCTACACAACTGGAGTCAGTGATCCAATTGCATACATGGCAGCGATGGTTTGGAGCTTCCACGGGGCGGAAGTGCAATCATTCTCGGATACCTAAAAGCACTTCTATGGGAAATCGAAGCTTGGGTCTAGCCAATTGCAGAATCGCCGCGAGGAACTTCTCGCGGATGCTGTAAATGACGCAAGCGGTCCCGTGCCCCTCCCCCGGTTCCTAGTAGAGGATGCTCTCTCCCTCTTTGAACTATGGTTGAGTATCATGGCGCCTACCTTCTTCCAGAAGGATGCATGGTTGCTGTGCTTGACCGGGCAACCAGTAATCTGGCTTCCATCTGGTAGCGGCCGCCTCCTCACTCCAAACACTTT